TTTGGATGCCCCCAGTCCCTTCCACCCACCCAGGTTTACCCCACCTTTTGAGCCACCCGTTTAACTTGCCGGCGCACACAGGGAGAGCCCAACATCTTTTGAAATCTTTGACGTTGTAAACTAAGGGGTTGGAGCTGCGCGAGGGCAGTGAGCTCTGGTTAGAACTGTCGTGCACCCCCTTATAAATCCCCATAGCAGCCTGTTGATAATCACCAATAATCTAGTAAGCTCCATTGTCTTTTCCACACTGTAAGCATAGCTAAAGGATCCCAGCGCATGATCAATCTATATTAAGGGCCCCATTCCCGCATTACATGACAGTCCCGGCTTCTCCCGGACAACGTCTTTGGCAGTGAAGATCTCCCGTCAGGTCGGCTGCGTAAAGCGCCTTGAGGTTGGATAACCTCGGTAGACTGCAACGTAAAGATCTGTGAGCACTTCAAGCAATAGTACCTCAAATCTCGTTGCAGGTATTTAGACATAAGAGCCCTATCTATGAGGCTTAAGTCCAAAATCCCGAACCGTGATGACTCAGGCTCTGATGGTTTCTGAGTGTCTAAGTTGACCGCCTGAGCTCTGGTGTTTGCAAAGATCGGGGCCAGTTTGAGTCAAAGACTGGGTTCTGCACTTCCCAAAGGCCCTGTAAAGGCTTTGTAGCTTTTCCGGGCGACACATTTATGATACGTCGGAACCCCTCAACTAATCCCCACAAAAGGGGGACCCCTGTAATCCCACTACAATCCCCACATGTCCTTAGATGCCCCTACTTTATGTGAGTATCCCCGACTAGCCCTGAGAACCAGAGCCGGCTTCAGCAGAGCAACGTCTCGTGGAAGGTTGTAGCTCGGATACTCACCACCCCACACTTCAAAAGTCCACCAGCATCTAGAAGTTTTCTGAACATGGTTTTCAATTTCTGTTGTTTGGAATCCTACAAGTAAGAGCCAGCTGAATCTGTGAGTTCTACCAGCTCCGCTAGAAATATGTACCCTTACTGGGGTCCCGATCTCCGACTGTGGCGGCAATGGCCAAGTGGTTGCTCAGAGCAGAGCAAAAAGCTCGCTCTGAACGAAGACGTTGATGGAGGCACCCCCGCATCCGAAATCCAGAATTCCTAAGTATTATTATGAAAGTCGAGGCCCATTCTACATGCGTATCCTCCATCAACAAAAATTCAGAAAAGCCCCCACCTCCCGGTAACAGCCCCCCGTAACGAAAACAGCCAAGTTAAAACGATGCCCTAATCTATACTTCTCCATAATTTTGCAAGGCATACTGGAGTTTCGTAGTGCGTCCACCTTCCAACAGCTTGAATCATAGTTACAGATTTTTTGCAGCCGCTCACCCCCTAATGTGACATGCTATGACTGTTGTATGGCGGGGGCACCTGAGACCCAGTACGGGCTTCTCAAAATCAACGGCCGTTGGGTTCTGATGACGCGCTTTGAAAAGGGGACCCGTGGGAACCCTGTTTTGAGAAGCACCCGTACAAGCGTCAACCTGCTGTGTCTGATGTCCAGGTCTCAGTCCTGTGCGGACACAGATCAAAGTGCAGACTCATGCCTACACAAGCACCAGGTTTTTGTAAGTTCTTTCCACCAATGCTACGCGTACGCTTCTGGAGGAGGACGCTCTCCTAAAGTATGTGGGTAAGATCATTCTTCCCTATGTTGCAATTGAAGTTGCAGTTGGAATTCAGCATACGGCGCCCAATCTAGATACTCGAACTATTCGGTGGCCTTTCGCTTCTTTTCGCCACCTCTGCATTGTTTTATGAAAAGGTGGTCATGTGGTGGCTTGAGCAAGCAATGCAGCAAGGGCGGCAGCACACGACACTGTCTCGTCAGAAATATGCGTTGCGTGACCTGGACCTCTCCCCACATGCTCGATGGTGTGATTGGCTGATACCAGCAGGTTCAAAAAAGAGCATCATGCAAGGGAGCACTGATACGAAATGGCTAGAGCAGTAAGAGGTGATCCATGCACCGTGCAGCACTTCAGTCATAGTTGCTGGGAGATCTGAGCGAGGTCTCTGACAAAAAGCTCTGTGCAGTTCAGCTGCTGACAGTTGTGACAGTTGCCCCACACGAAGTACGATTCTGTACATGCCTAGACTAGTCATCGTGCTTCGTGGTTTCTGCTGCAACTACTGTTCTGGAGTCCTGCTTGGCCTTTGGCTGGTATTTTCTCAAGATTTGCATGATATAGGGCGCTCAAAAGAGCATTTTCATCTCTGTGTAATTCAACCGGCTGGCGACCAAGGCTGTCGTCACGCCAATTTTGAAAGTGAAATGCATGAGGGCGACGGACATGCAGGCCAACAAATGCATGGCCATGAGTGCGACAGCCATGCCGTGCACCATGCGCATTGCCATGAGCATGAAGGACACACCGCGCACGAGGCCCATGGCCATGAGCACGGAGATCACCGCGCGCACGATGCGCAAAGCCATGAACATCAGGGCCACAGCACACATGGCCATGAGCATGGAGGTCACCACTGCGAAGATCCTGGTCACGAACATCACAGTCATGGCCACCAGCATCATGGACACGGGCACGAGACCACAGGCATGAAGAGTAGTGAAGGCCATTCTCACGGCCATGAACATCACAATGCTCATCACCATGGCCACGAGCATCAAGGGCATCACCACGGGCATGATCACAGCAGAGGCGAGTGCGACGGGCATAGCCACTCAGACGATGACAGTGATAGTGAGGAAGATTGCAGCTGCGGGCATGATCATGGCCACCACGGGCACCATGACCACCATGCGCACCATGGGCATGGGGAGGCCAGCCCTACCCTTCTATCTGCCCAGAGTCGCTCTCGCCGCCTCAAGGAGGGAGATAAGAAGGTGAGCATCACTCTTCCGACCTCCAGCTTCGGCTCACCTGCCAAAAAAATTCCCTCTGCCCGACCGGTGAGGAGGAGCGCCACCACAAGTTCCTGGATGTCTGTTTTCAGCGTGCAGAAGTCCAGGAGCCGCTTCACAGTTCTTCAGAAAGAGGTGTGCTCCGCTTGCTGCGGTCATGGATCCAGTGCCCGGTGTGCTGTGGCTGGCTGCAGGCCTCATGAGATGGTCAAGACCAAGTTCAGCATTCGAAACATTTGTTGTGATTCGGAGGTGAAGCTAATCAAGCGCATTGTCGAGACCATGAAGGGTGTTGAGAGCGTGTCCACAAATCCCTTCACAAAGCTTACAGTGGTGGTTCACTGCCCAGTGCAATGCTGCACAGCACCCGAAGTCATCTTGGATAAGCTGAACGGTGCGGGCTTGGGAGCTGCTTTACTGGGCCAGAATGAGGAAGATGGCGATACCGAGATCAATCTGATACAGTGGTGCTGGGACCATCTCCGACATTTCTCCTTTGTGGCCTGCCTCGACTGGCTGTTGTGTTCTCCTCATGACTTTTTAGACCTATCTAGGCATCATGATGCCTCATGCCGTTGATGCAACAGCAGGACTTGAATCCTTGAATGTGCAAGCGTTCTGGAAAGACCAGGAAAACTTGTGTTTGAGGGGAGCTTGGTGTACTCAGGTACTTTCCTTGTTGCTTTTGATCACCGGTGTTCTGCTGATTGCGCACGACATCCAGATTGGAGGCGAAATCTGTGAATTTGCAGCCTTGGCCCTTGGCCTTCCCTTCATCATCTTTGAAGCCCCTAGGCTGTCAAATTACACAGTTTTGCAACATTTTCACGGAAGGTAGATGTTTTGTTTCGGCGAATACTAGTTAACCTATTTCTTGTGGCTGAGGTCGAAGGACGCCCGAAGCCCTTGGCCTAGGCACTCTTCAAGTCTGTACCATGTTACTCCAACTAGCTTGAAAATACCGAACGTGTGACATGCACATTCCAACATAGATAACCGTGCCCCCAAGCGTTCCAGAGCCAAGAACCCTGAACCTGAACTATTAGTGCCCTGAACCTAAAGCCTAGCCTTCAAGAGCACCGCCCATAAACTCGACATGCCCAAACCCTACACTCAAGCCAGGCTGTGGTCACTATCTCGAAATGCCAGATAGATATGGCGGCCCTGGTAATCATCGCAGCAGGAGGTGCTCTTGCTCAAGAGGATACTGGGCTTTCCTGGAAATTGCTTCTGTTGCGGGCTTAAGATTCCCGATGGGTGCGGGGTTAGGGTTGATGGTGCGCTCATTTATACAACGGTTCAGGGTCTCGGATCTCGACACCCATTACATTGCTGAGACTTTGCAAGCTGATAGTATTTTTTTGCAAGGGCCTCTCTGGAAGCATCTTTGGGCATCAAACTGCTATGTGCCTTTCTACACCTCAAGCTTTATGCAGGATCCTCCTCAGTGTGCAAGGTCCCGCATCCCTCAACTCCCCTGTTTTGAGAAAACCTTTAAGCCTCAAAGGGCGCCCTGATTTTTGAAAGCCATTGTAGCTCAGCAGGGAGACGCTTTTCGTCCGTAGTTAGACCAAGGAAGCGGCAGACGCCGCCCTAGTAGTGGTACCTCGGCTGGTCCAAGGTGGGTGAAAGGTCTTGGTGTCTGGGATATTTGGAGTTTACACTATAGAGCTCATATAGGCCTTTAGCGCATGATAGCTCACGCACTCACTGATTCATGCATTCGAGGATGTGTCCACACGTCATGAAGGGGGAGAGTAACCTCGTGCAAGTGCAACATTTGCAAAGCGTGGCACAACAGTGCCAACTTCTTCATCGTTCTACGTCAAACATGATACACACTTGTCGCATTTCTTGATTTGCCTGAGAATGTTTGATGAGGAGGCTGGGTCGGGCACAGCATGTTCTGGGAAAGTTCTTGGCCATCAGGTAATCATCATCTACCAGTCCCCGCCTTCTAGTTTGACTAGGCTTCTTGAGTTTCTGCTTCACAGTTCGGTTGTGAGTTCGGGGTTCAGGAGAGTCATTGCCGTTCAAGGCCCCTTCGCTCACTTCTCCGAAGTCCTGCTTACATGTCAGTAAACTCCGTAAAGTAAAAACCCTGATATACATGAGTTTCCAAGTTCTTTTCCATTATCTTTATATACAATCCCAATATACTATAGTAGTTTCCATTTCCCTTTCCACTATCCCTATATACAACGCCACTATACCATAGTAGTTTCCAGTTTTGAATTATCCTAATATAACCCCCGAAGGCAGCCTGTAGGGACAGCTGAGGTGCTATTCAACCTCGCAAGGGTTTTGGAAGCTACTGCAATGAGTCGCGTCTCCAGGGCTCTGCGCGCAGTAGCTTGGCATCTTTTTCCTTGATGGATCACAGGTTTTATTTGTTGGTCACAGCTGCATGACGGAATCAAGCTGAACGTGTGCCCATCGTGTTCAAAGTAGTAGATATGCAATACATTGAGTTCAAGTCAGTGCCCTATTCCAATCCTTCTGGCACCACGTTGCTGCAATCCGTGTCCTTGCAAGCGCATGCGTGTAGGGAGGTGTGGCAATTGTGGGTCCCTTCTTGGAGTAACAGGACCCTGTAATCAGCTTACGTAATCATTCCCATTTAGTTACTCAGTATTAGAATAACTCCGAGTATCAGCATGGTTGTTCTTACCATCAGTGTTGTAGTATTATGAGTAGTGTTTCATAGGGTGACATAGGAGCCACCACTGTCGGCAGGCCCTACAATTCGCAGAGATACCCATACTAATATGTGAGAACGCTTCTTCAGGTGGTTTCAAGGGATGCGTCATTCCAAAACTTAAATCAAGTGGTAACCGCCATTTTGGGCACGGAATGGCGCGAGTATCTTGCATACACCCCCAAGTGCCCCAGTACCCAAGTGTCGGGGCGGAATGGTTTTGTTTGGATTTGGAATGATTGTGTGTGCACACCTGAAGCCATTTGTTTAGGATATTTGCACCATCATGTTCAAATTTTACTCATACGAGTACGAACATTTCAAGAGCCTATACTGTATCGGCCAGGATGGCGGCTTCACCCTTATGATGGGGTGGCAACCGGGTTTGGGGGTCAGGGGGGGCTGGCGGTTCGGGAGCATATGGTTTTGAAGCTTAGGGTTCATCATGCCGATGCCATTCCATGACGATTCTTACATACCTGTTTGCGGGTAAACTTGGATGTTCTATGTTCTTTCGCGCTGAATGCTGTGCAGGTAATGCAGCTGCAGGCCATCCGGATGGTGTCCTTAGTGGATGGAACGACCGTGGCGATTCCTGATTTGCAGGAGGGCGATGTCATTACTCTCAGGCCTGGATAACGAGAAGCTTCCTGCAAACGCGTACGAGACATTGCAGGGTAGTGAGAAGGGACAGGAGTAGGGTTTTAACCGTTTCGTATTCTGGCGGAGTGGTTTCGTGCAGGTCCGCCGGTTTGCAAAGTGCGAAAGAGAAAGACTGCAAGGTGGTCGACGGGGTCGAAGCCCTCGCTCACCCAATGTTCATCAGAAACCTAAGGCCTTAGGAGGTTCGTGAAGTACTGGCTGTGCCATTCGCAGTCTACCAAAAAAATCAAGCGGTCAGACATGGTCAGACTGAAGTGGCCATGGAAAATTCTCAATAGTGCAGGAGGCGATGCCGATCGATGGCCCCTCTATGTGTGTGTGACATCCTGAACCAGGAAGTGACCGGTTCGGTTCCAGCTCGAAGTAATCAGTACGGTTCCTCGGTTGGGTTTCAAGGTTCGTAGGTTCGGTTCATCGGTTCGGTCCGTTGATATGTCGCTGGGCAGTAAAGGGGCTGGTCAGAAGTTCCTTTTGAAGCAACAAACATCCTTCAGTGCGCCGTAGGTCAGATCCGTACCGCACCATAGCAGCACGCTAGAAGCGGAGCTTGATGGTTTGCAGGTATCCTTCGCGGTGATTGTAACTGCGGGGGCTCTTGTAGTCACCCTAACGAGGGAAGAATATACCAGCGCTGACATATCATATTACATATATACACATATGTATATATTTTCATAGGTATATATAAATATATGTACATGCATCTACCACATGCATGTGTGTGTTGGTGTATATTTACACACATTCTGAAAACTCACACATACACACGGCTTGACGATAGATAAATTCGAGCGCCCTCAACTTCTCAATCCTCAGCCCCATAGACATCCCTGTGTAAACCCGTGTGGAAGGCCTGGAGAGGAGTGCCCAGCAGATGGCACGGTCACCCGAGGATCCGCATCCTGTTCAGAGGCAGGGAGTCTTGACTTGGCAACTGGGTGTAGGGCGCTTAGGGCGTAGGGGTCGGGATTCAGAGGATAATCATGAGGTGAGATCAGTGATACGCAAGGCGAGGTTTTTAGAGACGAGTCCTTCAGAGGATTGGTGAGTTTACATGTGGATAAGCCCTAGGCATCCCTAGGCCCTTTATTAACTAATCTGGAAAGCCCAGCATAAACTTCATCATATGTGAACCCGGAACCCGGCATAATCCCTCAAGGACAAGACTTGAGATCCAACCCTAAGGGGGGCTAAAGGTAATGGCTGGAGTTCTTCCACGACTGGACCCAAGCCAGCAAAGTAGAACCCCTACAGTATAGCCCTAATTCCTAAATCCTAAAACCCATACCCATCCACCGGACTTGTACGGAAGGCAGCTCTCACTGGTGAAGCAAGGCCTGTGGAGAAGATTAAGGAGACTCCCTGGCAGGGTGTCGGAAGATCAGGTTGGAAGGAATGCCGTTTGCTGTCATCTTTTTGAAGCTGGGTGAAGTATCAAGGTCAGATATGTAAGCTGAGAACCCCTGAGTTGAGAGCCAACAGCCCCGTGGGGCTTGATACTCACTCAAGTTCAGGATGAGTAGGAATCCAGAGAAGGTTTATTGTGGTGTCCTCCACGCAGTCAAAAAAAACTTAGTGGCCATCAGTGCAGAGGACTGGCAATTCTGTGAGGCCAGATATTTACCTGCAACCCCCGCCAAAGTGTTTTTTTCTTGGGTTTGATTCTTGGGCTTAGGATGCTTTCTGGACTTCCCCAAAAGGACTACTTTGGAGAGCTTGGGTAGAACCATAGAAGATGTTGCTTAGCGCTCTACTAAACCTGATGATGACATCTCACTTGGACTTGAGCCTCAAAGCTGTGACCCCTCGGCTTCTGGCAGGAGAGCCGTATGTCTTCGGGGACCGTCATATTGAATGGTTACGTGGAAGTCACATTGACGAAGGCTGGCTCTGAGTCAACGCTCTCCATGATCGAGTCCCAGGTCCAAGAGGCCCAGATGAGGCGAACTGCAAAACAGCTCCTCATTGCAAGGTTTGCGAGCATTTGGACACCCACGGTGCTGGTGTTGGTGCTTGTGGTGTGCACCCTTGTGCCATACGTTTCCGATGGTGACTATGAAAAATGGAGGGAGCGTGGTCTCGTCATTCTGCTCACAGCTTGCCCTTGCGCAATTGTTATTGGCGCACCCCTTGCCACAACTTGCGCAGTTGCTGCTGCAGCTACCCGCGGTGTGTTCATTAAGCAGCCTGAGACAGTGGAGCAGCTTCCCTCCATCGTGTCTGTTGGCCTGGACAAGACGGGTACGTTGACAACCGGGGAGTTCGGCGTGCGTGCACAGGAGACGTTTGAGAAGATGCATGACCTTGCCGTGGAACCTCTCAACCTGGCAGCTGCCTTGGAGATGAAATCTGCGCATCCGATTGCTGCAGCTATTGTGTCTAAGGCAGTGGGCTGCGTAGGAGAGGCATACGAACAGGACGCCCTTCCCGCGGTCAAGAAGTTCCGCATCGTAGAAGGTGTTGGCATCAAAGGTGAAGTTAAGGCAGGCAACACCTTCGTGACAGTGCATGTGGGGAACAAGCGCGTCCTCGATGCAGTGAATGCAGATCCTACACAGCAGGCCAAGTTCACGCGATTCCAGGACTCGCCGGGGTCATCTTGTCCCTGATTCTATGAGAGGTACTGAGAGTATGTTTGTCCCTAAACTCTATAACCCCAAAACCCTATAACCCGTAAATCCTATAACCCCTAAATCCCATAAACCCAAAATCCCTACACCCTTACATCCTGAGGACAGTCATCCAGATGATACTGTGGTGGCTGTGATGATCAAAGGAAGGCTGGCCCTGGGCCTTGCTTTGAATGACACAGTCCGCCGGGATGCTGCATGCATGGTTGAGGAGTTGCACCGGATGGGCTGTGACTGAGGTAGATTAGAAAGTTTTGCTTGAGTTGTACAAGTGATTTAATGCCTAACACTTTAACGCATGGCATCCCGTTAACCCAACTGCATGGCTAGCTCAGAAGCCTGCTGAAAAGGTGAGGCCCGTATTCTGACTGGGGATGCAGCATCGGCAGGAAGGAGCGTGGCTGCGACAGTCGGCATCGACCCAACAATCTGTCAATTCTCCATGCACCCAGAGGAAAAGCAGCAGTGGGTTCAGAAGGAGGAGAATTCCAAGAGGCCAACGCTCATGCTGGGCGATGGCATTAATGATGCTGGATTGCTGTTATGGAACTCAAACTAAGTTACCATAATGGGTACATAGGGTGATTAACATGGTTTCCGCAATATGGCTGGTTGTAACAGGTTGGGCGGCTATTCCGCGACATAGGTTTGTAACAGAATCTCCTGGCTTGCGACAAGCACCTTTGCGAGAAGGTGCTTTTGTAGGGGCATACCTGCGCCAAGCATTTGCGACAAAGGTATGTAACAACGGGCCTCGACAAAGGGGTATGTAACAGGGGGGGGGGGGCGACAAAACGGCGTTTTGATACACAGCCATATAGTAACTTAGATTAGGTTCCTTAAATCTCTGTAATCCCCCGGTTTCCATGTCATTTTCTATGTTCTTTTTCATTTGGTTCTCTGAAACCCTACATTTTGGCCACGTGACCCCCTTGCCTGTGGCAGACGCAAAAGTCCGAGGGGTTTGAACATTAATTGTATTATATCCCTAAACCCTAGGCCCCTAAACCCCTAAACCCTAAACCCCTAAACCCAATACCCCTAAACCCCTAAACCCTAAACCATCCTAAACCCCTAAACCCCTACACCCCTAAACCCTAAGCATCTAAACCCTAAACCCCTAAACCCTAAGTTCTCTAACAGTAACCAAGGATGCCACAGCCCTTGCAACCGCAACTGTTGGAGCGGCCATGGGAGAGACAAGCGCGGCATTGGCTGCTAAATCAGCAACTGGGCTGCTGTTAGGGAATTGAATTTAAGTTGCTGTAATGGGGTTATAGGGCCTGGGGAGATTTTCCCCCTTTAATGGAGAATCAAATGGAAAACAACATGGAAAATGGATTGGAAACTCGGGGAATATAGGGATTTACGGAATTTGGCTTAAGTTAGTATATTCGGGAAACCCTATCATTTACTATGTATACCCATTCTGGTAACTGAATGAAGATCCTTAACAGCAACCCAGGCAAACATGGTAATGATGACAGACAGACTTATACGTCTGCCTCAGTGCATCCGTCTTTGCCGTTATGCACTTTGGATTCAGCGGATCAATTTGTTAATTCCCTGCCTTGTCAAGATTGTCGAGGTAGGCTTTGCCCTAGCAGGGCATCTCAAGCTGTGGATGGCCATCGTCTGCGATTTGGGGACCTTGCTCTTGGTGTTGTTGCTTGGGGTGACCATTCTGTCTCGTCGATTTTGGACGGAGGACACCACGGAATACGACGAAATCGAGAGTAACGCGTCCACAGGATCCGATCCCAGCTCTAGCCACCGTGTGTGACTTAATTTCCATAATTCGTACAGCTGGCAGGTGATTTAGTATTGCGAGTTCGATGCACTTCTGTCAAAGTCTTTCAAAGTTGCCCGCGGTCTGCGGACACTCTCACTCATGACATGTGTCAGTGCTTGAGGTAGCTGGCACAAGGCCGGCTAGAACAGGACAATCTCTTGTGATATACTCATCTCCCGTATCCACAGAAAACCTGTTGCCAGAAACACAAACAATTGACCACCACGTACTGCTTTGAAGCCTTTTGCCAAAGAGCGCATGTTGCGGAGACAGCGTGTCTCCCTCACTGCGGGTTCATTTGGCGAGCTCTGCTCCCCAGGATTCGAACACATGCTGCACTGTATTATGTGTTTCTCTTTAACAAGGCACGGAAAGATTTCTCAGAGGGATCATCGGAACAGGCATGATGTGTTCTCCCCTCCTGCTAGCACTGTACAAAAGGAGTCCTTGGGAGAAGCAAACAAGGTAGGACCAGGTTGGATCTGCAGGCTGCTGGGGCCGAAGAGGTGACCCAGCAGTGGCATAGGCAGATACCCTGCACAGCGATGCAGCCACAAACTCGTGGTAGTGGCTAGCTTGACTCCCTCGCTGCGCCGAGGAAGCAAGACTTCGTGGTTGCAGGGCCTTGATAAATGTGCACACCGAGCTTTTGCAATGATCCAAACACACCGAGGCTTGATTTTTAATGTTCTCGCACCTTTTTCACAGCTATGACCTAATTACTCGGCGTATTTGACTTGACCAATCCTAAGCCACTCCTTCCCGTTTCCTCGAGCTCCCACGCAGGCGCATACCGCTTGGGCTGAGCGCTTCTGCCGAGAGGCTGGCAGCTGCCCATAGACATGGCTTTAGGGCTTCGGGCTTCGAGTTCAAGGTTGACCTTGGTGCATACGGGGGCTTGCATAGTTACCAGTATTGCTCCTTGAGAGCATTTCAGAGCCCTTGGAACGATCATTCCATAGTGGGGAATTTTGGAAATGTTGGACTGTAGCGATCCGGCCATCGCTTTTGAACAGGTTTGGATAAGACAGGGAGGAGTGGGGCTCATTGCACAAGTTGGTTGTTGTTTGGATTGTTGAATTACACTTTCAGACACTCGGGGGGATGCCGAACCAGGCGGCTCCTTGATATTTCCGGCTGGTGGGGTTGATGACGGCTGGGCTTCAGCCATCCGAAGCTAAGCGGAGCTTGTGAGACACATGCCTCTCTCCTTTTCACAATGACTGCAAACATCATGCAAAAGATGTTTCTTCCAGAGCTGAAGCCTCCGGGATACGGCCTTACTGTGTAATTCTGCTCCAGCCTTTTTCGCCAGTACCCTACACTGATTCCCATCCTGTTGGACAAGAAACATGTTAAGTCGATCCTCTTGGCCGACTTCCACTGGTGGTAGCCAGGGTTCACAAGCTTGTGGTAGGTCGAGGCATTCTTAGTCTCGTGCTAGGAACCTGCACAAACTTTCTCAGGTACACACCTGACGCGTTTGAAGTAGGATTCTGTTGGAATCCTGGTAGAATGACCGACTGCAACTCCTATATTGAGGCTTCTGCATCACAACATCAAGACTAACCTTAAGCAACGTTATCCCGACATGCCTTGCCGCGACTCCCTGTTATCAGACCCAAGTTTTGATTCTGATGCCTAACATTTCAGCTATTCAAACAGGGTCCGTGCTCGGCGCCAGGTGGGCGTTCCCTTCACTTGTTGGTCCAACTCCAAGGCCAGATGTCCAAAATTAGGGGTCCAATATCATCCCCTCATAATCCTTTTGTAGTAGTAGCCGAAGCCTCCCGAAGCCAAACGGACCAAGGAATTCTCGCATGCCTGAAAACACCGCCGGCTTTACATAGTGCAAAAGCCCCAAAACCGATAGGACCCCATTATTGCATTGTAGTATACCAGGAGTCTCAGCGAATGTTCATAAGCCATCTATAATCTCTGTACGCGTACCCCTAAAAATGGCATTTGCAGATATACAATAGGAATATGTGTGTATATATCTATATATGTATTTAAACAGGACAGAGATTATGGGTTTACTATGCATCCGACCTTGTCTGATGAAGCTCCGGGGATCCTTGGTTGCCCTTGCTGTTGGACGGGTCATCCTTCCATTCGTCAGGTGTCCATCTCGTACCCTATTCCTTCATGCTATGCAACTTTGCAGAGATAGATACATATATATATATACACACATCAAACAGTCTCACTCTCTGAACTACCCCCTATATTCTGGACGTCACGCTTAAACAAAGCACGCGTTGCTGCGGGACTTCATGTTGGCCGTTCCATGTTCCTGTGATTTAGTGCGAATTCATGGCGTTGTCGCTTGAATTGCAGCAAGATGGGTGCTTATGTTATGTAGGTTCCCAGTATAACGCGTGTTCCTCTACTTCGAAGCCAGAAAGGCAGGGACTGGATCCCCATCATCCTCGTCCCTATCTATGACAATATGATATCTACAGTACAACCCGTTCATGAGACTCGACAGACATATACGCCATCGACCACCACGTGAAGTTGTGTTAGGCCCTGGTATCCACACCCACCTTCCGTCCACGGCACTTGATGTCATGCTTAAATTCCTCCACCGCTCACCTTCCTGTGGGCTACACTCTTGCACCTTTTGCCTGCAGAAAAGTAGAAACCCGGTTACCTGAAATCATCTGGGCTTCTCCGGTGCCAGATACCTGGGCGGCAACTCAGAATCGGGTTGGTGGCTGAGCTTTCGACTGCCATAAACCAAAGAAAAGGCTAGAATCGGTACTGGGCTTCGGGTTTGTCAGTCTTTGGATTGTAGCTCTTTGTATTCTGGACCCTAGAATTACCCCTGTTAAGGCGTACGGTGCATTCTAAGTGTGGATCAGGATTAGTTGAGGATGTTCTATCAGATCCCCAATTCCTGCATGCTGATTAACTACCGAGGTACATCTCTCCAGACTTTTTCCACCATTCCGCCAGCGCCCGAGCTGGAGAGCCAAAGCACAAAGCACACCGTCCAGCTTTCTGCAGCTGCAGCCTTGTACTTGGGGTGGTGGCGGCAGTTGTAAGTAGGGCCTCGATTCCAATCTAAAGCATGAGAGCTATTTTTTCTGACTATTAACTCCGTGTAGAACTTCCCACGGAAAGTTCCAGAAGGCGTCCGATCTGAAGTTGAAAGGGTAATAAAGAGTATATAGTCCTGATGCCGCAGGAGCCTTCAAACCTAACTGCCCTGGGAGCTGAAGTTGAGGTGTCCTTCTTCTGTCACGCTTTGCTTGAGCACCGCAACCCTGCCGGCACCTCGAGTAGTATGGCAGCTTGAAGAATAAGAATCCTAAGAATCCGATTCAGTTCCATAAGGAGGCAAGACCCTGCTACAAGGACTACAACTACAAGGGCACGGGGCTAGAGGATGCCCCCAGCCACATAAACTGACCCAATGCGATGTACGATTTATTGCGGATGGTTACCGGGCAGGATTCTTGATGGAATGTTTACGATACATGCGAGCAGAGAGGGTCATGAATGCAGCATGTGGAACTGATGGGCCAGCAACAGTGAGTGCGTCTGGTTCTCCGCCTTTCCTGGTCCAAGCTCCCCGTAGGCCACATGGAATTTTTCGAGCCGATCCAAGATGGCCCCACAAGACCATGAACACGGGGATTGGGGCTCTGCTTGGTGTGGCCTAGGCGCTGATTCCGATGAGGAGGATGATGGCGAGTGTGCTGAACATGAACACGCCAGTTGTGGTCACAGCCACGCACATAGCCACGGTCATGGCCATGGTTACGTCTCTGGACATGGCCATGAGGACAAACAAATGTACAGTGCGGAGCATGGGCACAGCAATGGGCATAGCCATGGCCACGGGCATGGGCAGATAAATGGCCATGGCTCTGGCCATGGCCACAGTCATGGTCACAGTCACGACGGTCACAAGTGCGAGGGTCATGACCACAGCGACAGCGACGATTCCGATGATGCTCCTCTGGTGGGCATTCAACAGGTATGTTTCTATACTTGTACCGCCAGCCTAAAGCTCCAGGCCCTGCATGTCAACTACAGCAGCAATGCAGTAACACCGTAGCATACTCAAGTCAAAAGCTGAGGATCAGGAGTGCGACGGACATCATGGTGGGGACGGGCACAGTCACAGCCACGGTCACGGTCACGGTCACAGTCATCATGGTAGTGGCGACGCTTGTTTGGATTTATGCGCCATTGGGCAGCTTAATGAATTCAAATCAAGGAAGCTATGACACTTCGAGTGTTCGGGAGAAGGTCTGGAGTTAGCAGGATAGGTTAGAGGAAGCAAAGCGTACAGTACAAATGGCGCCACTGCTTCACACCAGGCTCTGCGAGCGTCCGGCAGCAGCATCCAGTCACTTCGCACATCAGGGCAGCTGGAGAAAAGGTCAACCCTCGCGTCATCCCGCTTGCATGTTGCAATTTGCTTACGGAGGTAAAGCCCCTGTCTAGGCCTTCCTGGCCACAGTGCTAAGCTTTCATCACCTTGTCGTATCCAGAGCAGAGAGAGTCTGATATAGTAATTTAGGTCCCTGCTGGGACCGCGGCGGCTCTCATCGTTCGGGCTTGGGGAAGAGATTTGCACAAAGTGCTGCGTGCACGGCGGCGACGAGGGCAACGAACTGTGTGCTATGAACGGCTGCAAGCCCCACCAGTCCATCAAAACCAAGTTCTCCGTCCGCAACCTCTGCTGTGATTCTGAGGTGAAGCTAATTCAAAGGCTCCTGGAACCAATGAAGGGAGTGGAGACTGTATCAACAAACCCCTTCACCAAGCTCACCGTGGTGGCGCACTGCCCGGTCCGATGTTGCAGCGCGCCCGAAGCAATCCTGGAGACATTGAACAACGCAGGGCTCGGAGCCGCCCTGCTGGGCCAGAATGATGAGACTGGCGACTGCCTCGCACAGAGATGAAATAGCAGTGTCATCAGTAAATCAGACCCTTCATCTCAGTGGCCTTTTGCATTCCAAGCGAGCCGCAACATCCAGTACAGTACATGAAGGGTTCCTTGAGACCCCTATTTTTTCTGAGTAGTAGAGTCGCCCGGATGGTTGCTATATAGTAGGTCCGGCATTCCTGAGATACTACATTTCATGCTATTCCTTAGAATTCCGCGCCACTAGTTAGCCCTGTTAGTTAGCTCTGTTGACTACCCACTTGAGATTGTCCTGAAGAGAAAACCAGGCGAGGAGGAAGATGTGAGCTGCCTCCGGTGGATCTGGGCCCATTTAGGTGCCATCGCTCTGTTCGCAGCTACTCGCTTGTATGGGTCTGCCAGAGTTGTTTTGTTGTTTTTGTGGCAATGTGGGCTCGCTATTCTGGAGCCCGCACATTTGGGCGAGTGAATTTCTCATCTTCAGCGTCTGTATCTACCATGTGACCCCCAGCAGAAGCAACCATCAGAGCGTGCTCTTCCTTGGCCTCTAATAAGATGGAGCTCTTTGCAGGTTCACGGGTGGCCAGAACGGGTGTCGGAAGAGGGCGAACTAGGTAAACTTTAAAACTCACCTCACCAAAAGAAAAGATGCACACACCTTTCTTTCGCCAACCTTGCCCTTGGGCAAGGCCATCATTCTGTGCATCGTTGGTGCCATTCTGGTTCCCAATGGGCACCTTGTGGGTGGCCAGGGCTGCGACATGGTTCCAATTTGGGATGTCTCAAGCTTTGCTTAGCTTGGGCACCTAAGAGTAGTTGTTAAGAAGTCATTCATGGCTACGACACAAAACAGGCATTGTTACAGTCAGGCCCACAGCAAGCGAGAGAGAGAGACAGAGAGGGGGATCCAGGCTACTTCTTAGCCATCATCCTCGGCTTGCCCATACTGCTGTTCGACTCCGCTCGGGCGCTATCCAAGTGCCAGCTGGACTTGACGACATTGGTGACTTACTGGCTCAGTCGGTAGACTTTGAAACTGGGGGCTTCCACATGAGCCATATCCCCCTGAATCCGTATAGTACTCCCCTATATAATGCCCCATTTTACTCCTTAAAGGAGTTTTGAGTATAGTATTATAGCTCATATTCTCACCATATTCTGCAAGTTTGTGAGGGTAGGTTTGGGCCTGTCATGGAACTCAGCCAGTAAGGTCATCATAGCTGCTGCCGGTGCCGTCGCTCTGGGGGAGGTCTTTGATGCAGCTTTGGTGGTCGTTCTCTTTAACCTTGCCAAGGTGGACATTCTTCTTAAGAGGAGGATGTCTTGTGTATATCCTGAAACTCATGCAGTCCTTCGCAGGCTTAGAGGGACGCCGAATAGGGGAAAACGATGATTGAGCCCCCCAGGTTTTGGAGGTGACGGCCACGAACCGCGTGTCACGTTCCCTTCGGGCTGTAATGCAGCTTTCCTCAGTTCGAATGGTCTCCTTGGCAACTGGTGCCTAGGGTTGATTGGAAAAGGTTCTGAATTGTGGGTGTCCTCGTCCTTACAGACGGCGCCTGAAATTGTGTTTCCTAGATAGCCTTCATTACAAGTGTTTTGTTGAAGGTCGTTATGACCTACTATGAAATGAGCCGGCAGGTAAGTCGGTGGCTACCACAGCTCTTAAAATCGGCGACGTGGTTACTTTGAGGCAGGGCTGGTGGCAACAAGTTGAAGCTACTTCTAAAACTAGGGATCCCTCTTACGTTCGAGCCAAGTAGTAAGGTCCTGACTAAATGGACAAGTGCAGCGGCATGTAGCTGTGGGAGCAACGGCTTCGGCTGAAGTATTGAGGATCATGATGCTAGAGTTGGGTCTAGGGCTATCTAGGGCTTTAGGCCTTTGCTGTTCTCAAGGCAGCTTTTGTATTGCCACGGAACTTGGCTTTGGATTTAGCATGGGACTGTCCCAAATATCCCCAATAGTCTCTCTAGGACAGACTCGTGGAGACCCCTCATTATGCCCTCGCATGTCTGGGGTCCCTTTCAATTTTGGCCTTGCTTTGACGCCACCTGCTGTTGTGCGACGTGCCCAGCAGGCCTGGCGAGGAATGTCCTGCTGATGGCAAGGCTCGCTTAACCTGGTAAGATACATAGTGGAAAAGATAACGGAAACTACTATTATAGCATATTAGGGATATGGGTTTAGGGCTGTAGAGTTACGTAGGGGCAAGGGCTCTAGGCTTGATTAGGGTTTCTTCGGAGTTCCTGCATCTGACTTCTAATTCGATTTGTGTCTGAGACTGTCTGACGGGTATCATGGGGATGTTGTTCATTGCAGGATCATGCTTAACTTTTTTGGGCTATGCCTTTCCTTACTCACGTTCCTGTTTCCTTCCGCGCAGGGGGTTGACGGCATGGAACAGACCGAGACCTTCCCCTTCCTCGGGAATCTAACGGAAGCCATAGTTAAGTCACCACCCTTCTCGTATTCCCTGGATAGCTTCCATGATTCTCTGAGCTGAGTGAGCTGAGTGGGCGTTGCCCTTCCCTTGAAAACATGTCCTCCACAGCCGCAACCCTAAACTCCCAAGCCTTAAATCCTGAAACTCTACACTCCGGCCAAACCCCAGAGTCTAGATCATAGACTGCCCTAAACCGCTAAGCCTCCAAATCCTGAACCCGTAACCCCAAATGGTAGTTTCCCTAAATAAGGGGACCCCAATCTAGACCCCAAAATACGACACTCCTTATTATAGGGATCCCCAAAATGGTACTCCTAATTTTGGTAAACCCTAAACCCTATATAAACCATTATAGCAGTTTCCATTTCCTTTTCCATTATCCCAATATAGCCCCAATGTATACCCTATAATTCCTATATACCCGTAAACCCAAATCCACGAAACTTCCACCTGATACCATGGTGGCCTGTAGGTGACCCGTGGCCAGGCGTCCTGCTCAGAGGCGGGGCCTGCTATTACAAATTACAACTATAGGGTTTAGGGTTTAGAGTTAAGGGTTTTTTGGGTTTATGGGTTTAGGGTGTATGCCTGATGGACATTGAGGAGGTCTTTGTTGAGAGTTCTGTTGCTCAACGTCCTTGATTTTTACCAATCTGATTGAAGAAAAAGTCCTGCACAACCCTGGCCAGGTGCTGTAACCCCAAGTGGGCAATAATCTAAATTCTTAAAGGGGGCTAATTATATATATATTTGTATATACAGGGGATAATATAGGGGAGTACTATAAAGTTATGAATACTGTAGGAGCTTTGACAGCAGCTCAAGTCTAAATTGATTTAGGACGTTCGGTCGTTTGAAGTTTTCTTGCGCCAGGAACATTACTGGCTGTGTCAACGCCGTGAATGGTTTAGACTCATGCCAAACCTCCCTCTAGCTTGGATGAGACTCTTGAAAATAAGGCATCATTTGACTAGGGGTACCTTCCGAAGCAGCGGTATGGGAAATCTCTAAGGATTCGGAGTGGTACGTAATGGTCCGATTTGTGTACTTGGTATTTCTGAGCGAAATCTCTAGATAAGAAGGTTCCAAAAGGTTGAGTGATGGTTTTGGGTTCCTTTTGTCGGGATTCCGCTGTTTGGGTTTGCGTATACCTTCTCAGGCTTCTCAGAGCGGCTTCTCATTGGAATCAATTTCTGTGCTTCTCATGTGTAGTTATGCCATTTATCGTGTTTTGATTTTGGGCTTGTTCAAGTACGATCCTGAAAATGTAAGCAGGCTACCCTGAAAGGGCCATTACCTTGGAGATTGTTGAGCCTACGTGTTGATCGAACAGCTGGCGACAGTGACAATGATGGAATGATTGCGGGCCTGGTGATGATATTCATCTCAACATGATTGCATGTGCTTTCAGTAGCAATGGGTTGCAGTGGGGGTGACGGCCGCAAGCCATCAAGGAAATCAAAAGTGCTGGCAGGTGCTTTTAAACCTCCTGCCTGGGGGGCCTGTTGGATCCCAGCATGTTAAAATCTCGGCAGATAGCAGAATGGCAGATATTGTCACAAGCATCATGTTAAGCCCTTGCACAGCAACTTACACGTTGTGACTCCAGCTTGGTCCGAGGTTCCGCTCGCGTGCTTTGCCGGTTTCTACTCAATTCATCAGCCCCCTGCTTCTGTGGAGAGAGGGCGTCCAGCACAAGAGTGGTCCCCTTCTTCCCAAGAAGATTGCGATAGAACCCTGTGGCCATGAACCAAGGCTCCAAAGAACACAAGAAATCACCATCCAATCATTCGACCAAGTAGAGTCTTTCATGTGGGGCCAAATGTGAATACGGAGGCAACTTTGGGGATTCTTAGGTCACATGCCAACAGGCGAACCCATAATGCAAGACAATGATGCCAAGCGCTACGAAAAACACCGTTAGCTGCTGAACCCTGAACCTCACAAGCCCGTGTCTTGCCATGCTGTTACCCGCGAGGCTGCGCTCACCGGCGAGGCGCGCCCAGTTGAGAAAAGCGTCGCCCCTTGTTGAATTATTGGGGGAAGTTTTGTGTGTGATCTTCATCAAGTGAGTCTACCTTTGACCCAGACCAGCCTTTGAGGCCCCCGCGTTCGAGGCATCTGTACCCCAGGCCCACGGTTCCTATTGTACTTACGCGGGGCTGAAATTGCCGCAAGAAGGGCGTACTGGTTAGCGCTTAGGTCCCTGCAGCGAGGGCATGGCTACTTATTCACTGTGATATGGTTTGAGTTTGAGAGGTAATGAGTAAGTTCTACTTGTTTTGTTTGTATTGTGACCTGCACTGGGTACGTACAGTAGGATATGGCACCACTGGTTCATGTACCTCTGAAGAGTCTCGGGTACGCGATGTGCTTGCACCAAGTCGGATAGCAGCTCTGACTACAGGCGGCCTTTTTACACCCAGAGCCCCACAGCCGTCAACTACTTTTAAAATCGTGGAGCACAGAGAGACAGTTGCGAGCTGATGAGTGGTACATGCACCGACTGAACCGCTAAGGGAAGTTGGATGACTTCAGGAACGCTCGTGCTAAATGGATATCTGGAAATTACTGTGGACAAAGATGCCGGAGACTCTGCACTTATGCAGCTGGAAGAACAAGTGCAGGAAGCTCGACTGCTTCGGATTAAGCTCTCTTTTTGTGTAGGCGCCTGCTTGGCGAATTGCAAATATCAAGCAATTACACATGAGATGCTGAAAGCATTCCCAGTACACGAAATTTGACCTTTCAACAATTGGGAACCTGCTCTGCGAAGTACAGGCCACGGCAAACAAAAACTTAACATCCATGCCTTAATCCAAAATACCTGTAGACTCACTTTTCCTCCTCTATAGTCCTCAATGTAGGAAGCCCAGATGCAGCGGACTGGAAAGCAGATTTTTCTGGAGCGCTTTGCTGCGGTTTGGACACCTTTTGTCTTGGCCATCGTGACTGGGGCGCGAAACGAGCTTCCAAACGGTTCTTCTTGAAAGCTTAATAGAATAATGGCACACCTTTTGAAAAGGTATCCCTTGGCCGAACGGTAAATAGTCTGTCTCAGCAAGTACAAATGTACGCTACTTTGGGACCCAGGTGATAGTAGTATGCACCTTGGTGCCCTTCTTCACGGATAAAGACTACCGGTCATGGATCAACAAGGGCCTCGTCATCCTGCTTACGGCCTGCCCTTGTGCTATTGTTATCGGGGCGCCGCTGGCCACTACCTGCGCTATAGCAGCGGCTGCCACAAAAGGCATCCCAGACAGTCTGGACATATCCCAATGGAACTTTAGCATATATTATTTCTTGAAGAACGTAAGCTTTTGGGCCGTAGCCCCAGACAATCACATATCTGGACCCTTCAGGCTTGTTCATCAAGAGACCAGACACTGTGGAACTGCTGCCGACGGTTGTTGCAGCTGGGCTGGACAAGACAGGGACCCTAACTACTGGGGAATTCGGCGTCCGAGTGCAGGAAAAGTTTTGCAACAGCAGCTTCAATGCAGACGTGATGAAGCTGGCAGCGGCATTGGAAATGAAATCTGCGCATCCAATTGCCGCAGCAATTGTCTCCGAGGCCATGGGCTGTATTGGCGAGGCCAATGAGCATGGCGAGCTGCCTGAAGTAAAGGGCTTCCGCGTCGTTGATGGTGTTGGGATTAAGGGCCGCGTACGGGTGGAGTCCTCTTTTGTGCATGTCTTTGTGGGCAACAAGAGGGTGCTGGACGCCGTGAATGCGACGCCGGTACAGCATGCGAAATTTACCAATTTTCAGCAGCAGTACCCAAACGACACCACTGTTGCTGTAGTTGTCAACAAGGAGCTGCGCCTGGGCCTTGCATTGAATGACACAATTCGGGAAGATGCGGCACAGATGGTGGAGGAGCTTTACGACCTGGGCTGTGACCCGCGAATCTTCACAGGCGACGCTGAGCTATCTGGAAAGACAGTCGCCGCGGCTGTCGGCATTGATCCAGATATCTGCCACTTCTCCATGAAGCCTGAGGACAAGTATCAGCTGATTAGGGAACTGGAGGCAGAGCTTTGTCAGCAAGAGATCAGGCAAAACAGTCAGCTTGCAGGCCTTGTCAAACAACAAGCCTAACCATGAAGAGAGTGATATTAGAGTCTTGATGGGTCTTGGGAGGGACAGAGGCAGGAGACGTGAGAGCCTAGGAGGGAAAGCCTTCGTTGATGCTGGGCGACGGCATCAATGACTCGAAAGCTTTGGCAGCGGCTACTGTCGGCATTGCAATGGGCGAGCGAAGTGCAGCTCTGGCTGCAAAGACCGCCGACATGGTCATGATAACTAACAAGATGATCCGACTCCCACAATGCATTCGAATGTGCCGCTTTGCCATTCTGATGGAGAAGCTGAATGTTTTCCTGCCAGTGTTGGTGAAGCTGGTGGAGCTTGGCTTTGCTCTAGCTGGCAAGCTGCTGGCTTACTGATTCAGAATGTCTGACCTAGGATCGCCTGTGTGTCGTACGGTTCATGTTGGGGGTATCTAGGGATAATGGAGAAGAAAATGGAAATTACTATACATAGTATGATAGGGTACATATTGCGGGTATCCGGGGGTCGAAGCCAAGGTTGGAGCTTTGGATGGCCATTGTTGGAGACCTGGCTACTCTGGTCTTAGTGCTGGTGCTGGGCACCACGGTCCTTTCCCAGCGCTTCTGGAGAGAGGGCAGTGATGATATCGTTGAGAGCTCAAGCTCGGAGGATGAATCTTCCTGAGGTGTGCGCTCGGCGATGTGGCGGGATGTCTCAAGACTGTGCTTGTCTATTTGGATGTTGCCATAGTTGGCACTAGCATTTTTGGAGGGAGCACACAGGGGGACTCTGATTTTGAAACATCCCTTTGTTTCAAGCGGCCGAGATTTCAAGTTGCGAGGAATCGCCACGGTCGGCTCGCCAAACAACTTGCTGGTGCTTAGTATGGAGTGGAGGAGGCAGTAGATGCTGGGGGGTGATAGGGAGAACTACATAGGGATCCAGCCCTTCAAGCACGAGCACGTCACCAGACGATGCCAGGCCTACAGCATTGCTGCAAAGCGGCAGAGTGTCGTCATTTCAAATGTTGCTTTTACTTTCAAGATGATGACATGTGCTGAGTGCTCTTGGAGCTCTTGTATCAACATGGTGACAGGCAAGCCAAGGCCCACTCGCCAGTGTCTTCTCAGTACCAGAGTGTTGCATTGCAAAGCAATGCAACTTGCGAAAAAAGCATGCAAAGAAAAGTCCTCTCGGCAAGAGCCCTTGTTGCCAGAGAAGCATAGGGCAACAACGCCATGCATAGTGGTTCAAGCTTTGGAACAACCCCACTAATCCCTGGCACTCCTAGTCCTCCAGGTGCTACTATTCTTTGTCGTTGCCTTTGTTGTGTCACATGTTCAGGGGCGTACCATTCATGTTCTATGTTTGCCGGATCCACGGGGGGTTGCTGCTGAAGCATACAGGTTGAAGCAGCTTCTTCAGCCCAACTGCGGCTAGCATTGCGTGTACATACAAAGTTGCCATCATCTTCTCCAACTCACCATTATATATCGATAGATACGCCTATATATCCCCTTAATATGTACTTGTATCCCTCTCATATCCGCCTATATACATACCTGACAGCGCTTGACAAGTGCAAGGCTGCCGTGCCGCAGGCTAAGAGCCAGTATAGATCATGGAACCATATATGAGTTTATACATGTCGGGTTGTATAGGGTTACATAAATATGTATGGGGTCATGGAAAAGAAAATGGACAGTACTATTTAGGATTTAGGTTCAGGGTTTAGGGAATGGAAAAGGTTCATACAGTATTCGAAGTAATATTGAGGTGTCATGCCGGACATAATAGGGATATTCCCCCCAATAACGGAAGAGAAGATGGACAAAGGCATGGAAACCGGGGTTAGTATATAGAGTCAACGCAAGCGTAGCAGAGCTTTGAAGGCAAACCACCGCAGGAAAAAATGCCACGGTTCATTGTTGTCTGGCGTACACGCTATCGGCAACTATTTAATTTTTCCATCCGCTTCAAGTCTTTCCTCCTCCCCCATGATAACAAAACAGCAAGAAAGCTAGGGTTATGAAAATCATGGCCCTGGTCGTCCCCGTAGTTGTCTACCCCATACTAGTATAAACAAACAGCACCCAGGATTTCTAACCATCTCCCGATAGAAGAATGCGGATGTTCGTCACCCAGGCGTCTTGAGTAGCACGGCAGCCTCGCCTAGGATCAGTTTGACGTCTTTATCTACAACAACGCCTCGCGCGAGGATGACAAGACGGAGCTCTTCAAATCTTTAGTGCCATCACCCCATTCTCTTGTTTTGTCAACTTGCCAAAACATGCATTTTCAACTAGGCCGCCGCGCTCGCACATATTTACAGGCTTTGTTCTCTTGATTTTTTGCAGCCGGGGTCATGTGGGCTAATGACTCAGAGCCGGCAAGAAAAATTGTTCAAAGAGGTGCCTTCATGCATTGCCCCCAGCACATCGAAATCCAGATTCGCGACGCACATGGGAGAAATTGTGAGGAGCCGATGACCAGTACATGGATAATTGTAGGCCAGAACTTCCAACATTTGGGTATTAGAGCGCGCTCTGATATAACTCTGCCACTCATTTGCCGTGCTCTATCTTGGAATTTGAAGCTCCAAGTAGCAGGTATTGCCTAGATGGGCCGCGCTGAATTTGCCGTCAGTGTTGTCAGTGTTGTGCATATTCCTACCGGGACAGCCGACAGGAGGACTAGTAGTAGACATGTCTATTCAAAAACTTTAGCAGCACCAAAACTATTACATGTTTTCTGCTGGGGGTGATGGTAGTAGTAGTTGTAGTAGCAGTACTGCTATTGCTGCCCCAGCTACTACTGCCCACCCCTGCCCCTGCACTACCATGGCTACTACTACCACTACTACTTCATACTGCTGGTACAAGGCCTCCCAGCCAGTGGAAGAAGGTCACTGGCATGTCTGCCCAAGAGGCAGGATCTGCCTCAACACCAAAGTGTAGTGTTTTTGGGCTCAAGGGACGTCCGGAAATTTAAGCACTAAGACCCGCCAAGAGGCTCATATGAAAGTGCATGGGCACTTCAAATAGGTTTTCAGGTGGGTCTCCAGTTGCAATCTCACTGGGGATACTGCCAACTGCCAATGAACCTTTAACTCGTTTGTTCTAAGCCTAAGCGACTTGAGTACAAAAGCTCTGTGAGCACTTAGACCCTACCAGCTTCCCCATAAGTCTTTTTTAGGTGTGGCGCTGCAGTTTTTTACCTACCTCCCATTGAGAAATTCCTGCCATAATGTTCAGCATCATGCCGATAGTAACTTTCAATAGTAACCCAGTTTAAGGCTGAAGTCATCTGCAAGTAGGCAGGCGTAAGAGTTGGCAGACTGAGACCGTTGCCATACATATCCCTGCCACATCCACCTACTTCGGGAGTCCATGCCTAGATACGAATAAATGGTTCGAAACACCATTTTATCATCACCTGTAGGCCTTGTAGAGTCCTTTGGCAAACGCATGCGACAACAGGATAAGCTTGCTAGCGCAGGTCCCCACCACGAAAATCCCTCAACAATCGCTGCATCGCTCTGCGGGTTGTGTGGGGCCTTTGATAGCATTGTATGTAACGCGCAACCCGACCTCCCAAATCCCAATGCCAAACCACCAAACCTGTACTCCGGAACCCCACGCCCCAAGATCCAAAACTGCATAAAACCAACTTGTGGCACAGGTGGCAGAGATTATCCGGCAAGATCAGATTGACATCCTGATTGAGCTCGCAGGCCCTAGTATTCCTTTGCGGAATTCAGGTTTGGAAGTGTCCGATGCAGAATCTAAGGCATATAGTGCTGTATTTTGGGTTTAGCGATAAGGCAAGCGTGGGCATGTTCTTAAACTCGTGTTGGTGATGGGCGTAGTTCTGCACCACGTAGGATCCCCAAGATGCAGAAGTGCTTCAGGTCCAGGATAATTACTGGTGCAGGATGTTCCTGGCTTTTGGGGGGGGGGTTTACGGGGCATGCGTGCTAGGCATACCTGAGGTGTAGGCTATTTGGGCTTCTCTGGCGGCAGCCTCCTTTGTTTGCGGTCTCTGGGTCAAGGATCCTGACAGCTTGTGGAGACATGCAGGGACTCTGCTGAAAGAAGTATTCCTGATTTTCATCGTACCTCATCGTAGAATATGCAAGGGGTGAATTTCGCAGAACATTGGGCACAAACAGGCCTTTGCTTTCCCGAGAGGTGAAGTTTGCAACTGCGAGTTGGTCTTCATTCTCATACATGTGCTACGATGATAGGGATGGCGAACTTAAGGCTGGTTTCCAATCGAAGTATAGACGGGAGTCCTTGGTGGCCCCACAATGATGTTGCATGAGTTGACCGAGGGGACTGTTAAAGCCAGAGCGTTTGCTTTGGAGGCCATTCGGCATTTTTGCCCCAACTCCAGGGTTGATTTACCTTTTCCCTCTTGGACACGTCTTCCTGTATCTGCGAAGCCCTAGACGCCCCACCCCAAACAAAAGATGAATAAAGATGAATGACCGCCATGAGCTTCACAAACCATTCCCAGGGCACACAGCCAACAACCGCTTAGACGTGATCGCGCTGTGCCTCGGCCAGTTGTCCATGGACAAAAATTCAATGGCAAGTGAGGTTTTGAAAAAACCGAAGGTCCTTCGTTTAAGGATAACTGTTGAGGGGACTTAAAGGCGTACTATGGTGTTGTCTACATGCACATAACAGTCACCATGCATAATAACCACCACCACCACCGCCGCCGCCGCCGCCACGACCACGACCACGACCACGACCACGACCACGACCACGACCACGACCACGACCGCCGCCGCCGCCGCCACCACCACCTCCTCCTCCTCCACCTCCACCACCGCGACCACCTCCACCACCACCTCCAACACCGCGACCACCTCCACCACCACCTCCACCACCGCGACCACACCCGCCGCCGCCGCCGCCACCGCCACCGCCAGCACCAGCACCGCCACCACCATGCCCACCACCACCGCCGCCGCCGCCGCCACCACCACCACCACCACCACCGCCACTGCCACTGCCACCGCCATCGCCACAGCCACCATTGCCAAAACTGCTGCGTAGACGAGGCAGATCTCGAATCATCAACTCGAACAGGGTAGGGCTTGGCTCAGTAGTAATGTGAGTTCTGTCTTGCAGACCCAGATCCACCCCGCTTTCAGCTCATGGTCGTCCAAAGGAGACGACATACAAATGAAATACACAGCATGTTTCCTGTAGGCCCCACGGGCTATGTATACCCGCAAAGGCTGACAAAGAGAGCGCAAATTGACCTCTGAATATCTCGGAATCCTTTCTCCACCTATCTTCTTCAGCAGGACTCTAGACCCCACCCTAACACTTGCCTCAGACCCCGTGGGCCCTTGTATAAGAGGGACTGAGAGAACCCAATTATCAACCCCAGTTGCCATTTCATGTTCCATTTCTTTTCCATTTGATTCTTAGGGTAACATCCCTATATACTCCCTATAAAGCCCCAAGAACCGCTGTAACTTACCCTATCATGATGTAGTAGCTTCCATTTTCTTAACATCATCCCTGCTAAGCCCCTGTAACCCTAAGGACCTGTATAACAACAAGATATACTTTATCATAATGTAGTAGTTTCCATTCCGTATAACCCCAATATATACCCTATTATAATGTAGCAGTTTCCATTCATTTTCCATCATCTCTTCTAAGCCCCCTACCTTAAACCCTGACCCCAAGAACCAGCTTCAAGTGTGCTAAGCCAAGCGTCTCAGGAAACCGGCTCCGGTCCAGTGATTGGCTCAGTCTGAACCCCCTAAACTTACAGGGGGGTAACTAGGGAACAAAGGAAAAGAACATGGAAATTGTACTACTTTGTGATAGGGTATATATTGGGCTTATAGTGGTTCTTGGGATTATATAGGTTTACTGGGGGGTTAGTAGGCAATAGGGGGATAAGGTAATATCTGATGTAGGGATGATATAGGGATGATACTCCCTTCATTCCCTACTCAGAGTCAGTAAGTAAATGGTCAGCCCAAAGCTGGAACTTCATTTCTGTAGGGAATACGTTTGGAGGACCCTCCCACCCTGTAATAATTCGTGGTATAATAGGAATATAGGAGGGCCCTAATATAGTCCTTATTATCCCTTATAGCCACTATTACCCGGGTGGTCCACCTAAGGAATACAGGATTAGTTACAATGTAGATAGAGGATGTTCAAGCTTCAGCGCTTGGGCCCTGCAAGAAAATTTGGATGATTTTTGTGAACCTTCCCTATGACAACGGGTTACTGTATGCCCCTGTCAGGTGGGATCCCCTTCTTGTCATAAATGCGAAAATATAGGAGTCATGAATGGACAGAACAAAGCTTTGAACGATGGATGAGAGCAGTTGCTGCGAGCCTCACTTTGTAGGCTCGTGAGTCTTGCAATGACTATGGTGCCAAGCAACTACTGCGTGGAGGGATAAGAATAGTTGCCTTATTTGCCTCTATCATTTCAAGAGGGCTGTTAACATCGTCATGTTCTGGATGTGGGGCTGTGTCATATGCAAAGTTGCTCGGGCTCATCCCACAGATCTAGCTTATGTCATGTTTCCATGGTGCACCATTGCCAGAGAAAAGACGGTGTCAGCCTACGGGTGTCATCCAGCGCTTCGTTGTGCTCGATGCAACGAGGGCGTACAAGTGTGCCAGACGTGCAAGTACAACACATCTAATTCCAGTCACCATTAGCTATGCGAGTACTATGGCATTTCAGTTTCTCAAAGCGGCAATCCAGAAAGTCTTAGTCCTATTATTCGTGCGGCCATCATCTCAGCAAGAAAACCCCACTGCTGTTCTGAAACCTTAAAGCCCAACGTGCCAGTGCCTGCGAGTCCTGCAGACTTTCTATTGAACACCTGCTTTGTACAAATGTTATTGTACCGGCCAGCCTCCAACCAAGGATCACATACATTGGCTACAACAACACGACTGGGCCTGGGCCTGAAGGGTTCAGACCCATTGCAGACGCCCTTACCTCCACAAAGCAGCAGCCGTTTTTGTATTGTGGAACATCCGGTGATTATTAATGAGTCCGGTACAGGACATGTCCGCAATCCTTGTTTCTTCAGTGTATCCGTCGCGCACATCCCTGCTCAAGCATGAAGGTGGCTTTCGATATATTATGAGATGGTGACTGAGGCTTTGGTTGCACTTCTTAGCGTTGTACAGATCCTGGCCAGGAGGCTCATGCAAGCGGCTTGTAGATGCTGCTGAGGTTAGGCACAATTGACTACCGGCTCGTCGATGACGTCGTTGATCCGCGGCCATCTCAGACCATCTCAGACCACAAGTTCGAGCCACCACCCGAGATTGGGATCTTCTTTGTTTACCCTAAGAAATGGCCTTGCCATAGATGCGGCACAGTCAGCGATACGTTCGTTTGCAAAATCCGCACGTGGACTTTGTGAGATTTTGACTCTGGACCTCGTAGGTGAATGCCGATGAGAATGAACCACTCGAATGATAGGACAATATAGGAGAAGAATGTGGTGATCCTGTTTTTGAGGGGGTTATGCGCAAACAGGGGCTGCCCAGCATGTCAGTTTGGTAACTTGACATGGTCAGCACATGGTTGAGTCGAATGTAGTGCAGTTACCTTTCTGAGCTCACGTCCTGTACCTTGAAGTAACGTCCCTTGGATCCTTCCGTTGCAGATGTGAACATGACACTTTGGGCTTAGCAATCTCGCAAAACCTGGCTGTAGTTCTGCAAAAACTCGGCTTACTGCGTGGACTCTGTGACAGCTCCTGAAGCAACGGCTCTGTGGTATAACTCACAAGGCTGCATCCAGAAGCACATCATGATCCACCAACATTTGCTTTGGTAATCATGGTCTTGGAAATTTCGATGTTGCTGACGACAAGAAGCCCATACATTCTACAGTATCCGTGCCTGCGTTTGGATGTTTCATACTCGCTGCGGCAACTGCCTGAAGAGTAGCTATGAAAAACACTGCTCAGATCAACGCAGGAGAATCAGCAATGATTTGTAGCCGCAACCCATTATGACTTGGCCTCGATGTATCTCGAAAAGGTAGCCGTTAGCCTTGCTGCACATTTCTGTTTTCTTGAAGGGAAGGGACCCAGCTCGGATACTGGCAAGGAGCTTAAACCCGAGTCCGCCCGAGGCCTCATCGCCCTGAAGCCAACATGCCGCCAGCCCTCGCTCTAAACTATCTCCCCAAGCCGCAAAACCGCATCAGTCCCAAATGGCCTGCAGGGAAGTGGTGGGGTGGGGGTGTGCCCCAAAAGCTATGATTCCCCTCTTTGTCCGTACGGGTGATTCATAGCCTTTATGGGGCTGCCAAATGATGAGTCACTTGGTGACGCTGTTCAGGGGTATTACATTGTTGCTTCCTTGAGGAGTAACGCACGGAGACCAAACGCTCACTTCAAAAATGATTGGGTGCATGCTGTGCGGCGAAAATGGATTGGAGTCATTCTTTTGGGAACACAGGGACTATGACCCTGAACAGTGTATCATCCGCTTTCCTAGATGCCCCTCACATGTGTTTAAGCCAGTCGAGAAACAATGAGTTGAACCATTGTACTCACAATCCCACACCCCTAAATCCTGTATACATGTATCGAAATCCCCTTGACCCTACACCTCCAACCCCCGCCTAAATTAAGCGCGTGAAGCCCAAACCCTTAATCTCGACTAGAAAACTTGTACATACACAATGGCACTCAGGCTGGACTCCACTCAGCCCTTTAGCGAGGAGTTGGTTCGCATTCCCGGGTAGCGTCCTCACTTGCAAAGTGATGTGGTGGGCAGGTTCCAAACTTCCTGACAGATCGTATTGAGTGCGTAGGGCTTGGGTCAAGGTCACATATTGTTCTGCAGGGGTTGTACGGGACTGGGGTGCTTCAGATTGTGGTGACCCTCATCGTCTCCAAAGTGGGGCTAGATTTGGGATTCTAGCAGTCATAGCACTATGATTATGATTCATAGTACTATTACTATTTCTATTTCTACCGTTATTATTACGCTTATCATTATTTGGGATTCTTGTTTAGGACGCATGCGTGGCAGACCCCAGTGTGAGATTGTTTGTTCAGGCTGGAGATAGCATGTAGATGCAGGACCATGTTGCTGGCTTACCATATCTTGTTTGGTTTCCCTGCTTCCAGAACATTTGCCTGGATGTCAGCCAAAATTCCAGCATTGCCAGTTGAAATTTGCATTCCAGGTGCTTCCTGTGCTATACGCCACCGTCGCGGGTTCCAGATGTGGAGCCGGAAGCCCATTGCAACACTGTAGCACTGTAGTCGAAAGGCCATTGTTGGGCATACTAGGCGGGGGCTCTGAAATGCTCCTAGCCAGTGTTTTGAGAACCTGCTTTTGGCGAGGGTTGTTCTAAACAAATGTTTCCTGCTCTTAGAAGGTCCGTCCAAGACCCTTGGTATGGCTTATGCAAGTCTATGGAGCCCGCTACTCTCCTGACCGTATTGCAGTAATTCCTGTATGCCTGGGCAAGGAGTACTGCTGTAATGATTGCTCAGAAGTTCAGAAAGGCAATTCATGTGATTTTGCAATCGCCTCAATGGTAGGCTGTTGGTCCGATGTACCCCGTAAGTCCTCCAAGAACGCACTATTCAGGTCACTGGAGCTGTTGAGAAGTACAGCACTGAGCATGAGACCTGTAGCAAAAAAGTGGCACCAGACCGGCATTTGTCCAGATGACCCGAACTCATTCCTAGCAAGGATCGCGAGAACATGCTCACAATTCCAGTCTAGAATCTCTATACCTCTATTTCCCCAACACCTCCGCCTGGCTCTGGCTTTAGCTTTTGAGAAACATTGGCCTTTGCTTCTCCCTCTAGGGCTTTGCCGGCGTTGCGGAACGGCTACATAACGTTCGGAAGTCCTTGGCCAAGAATGAGAGTGTGCGTGTTTGCCCATAGAGAGAGCCAGGCATCCGGTTGAGAAGTTCAATAGATTGCATGCCACCATAGGCCGTCCCACACTTGCAGGAAGGTATGCCGCACCTTACTCATTGCGCAACTGCCCATCCTGCCCACCCTCTACGAAGGATGGCTGTTTGCTGCTGATTACGCATGACTTTGAGCGCATTAACCTGAAGTTGTAGGCAGATGGTGAAAGCATGATGTCCCATACCAGAGTCCTCGTTACAATTCCCACGAGCCTCAATGATTGGAGACTCACCTGGAATGGTGATGATTTCGTGCGTTGTTCTTATCTTGACATGGGAGGCATTTGGAAGGATTGATGGACAAGTGCAACCTCACATGTAGGAGCAAGGAAGTGTGTTTTCCTGCTCCAAGTAGTTGATTGCCATTTGCGCCATTCTTGCTTGAGGTTTCCAAAACTCAGTGGGCTCATTTTTTGAAAGTCACCATAAACACGGCTCTAGTAGAAGCATATTGGAATTTACTCTGCGCTCTGCCTATTTATGGACACCTCCATTCAGTTATATCTGCGTCAGCTTGCATTTTGGCCCAGCACATAAACCAGGGTCCTAGCTTCACACCCTGGCAGCAGGTATTCTCCCTTATGCAAGAGGAGGCCTCGAAGTATTGAAGCAGCCTTCAGTTGAAGCCTGAACCTGAAACCAAGCCTGACACACTTCGGAGCAAGACTGCCCTAACGCCACGCGCTTTCCGCCCGCGCTTTGTGTGCATAAGCCCTGACGTAGAATCCACAAAGCTGAGCAGTTCCCGAAACTTCGAACCCAACTCTCCTTGGGTTAACGCTTACAACCCGACGCCTGAAACTCAGACTCACCATGGGTTTCCAAAGAATATAGTAAGAGCTGCAGTCGTCTGGGCATATGAGGCCCATTGGAAATACCCATATACCGCTACCACCCTGTACTATACAACCACAAGATTTAGCTCTGAGCCTCCACTGGATGAGTCCGGGTATCAAGTAAGTAGCATGCAGTCTTCAGGGTTGTGGTACACGGGATACACTTTGACCTGAGAGTAACGGCGCTTTGTCCAGCTTTGAGTGGGAAAAGAGTTTTGTCAATATCAAGGAGCCATAAAACGAGGACTGTATCTGAAACGCTCGTTTCAAGGCCTGTCCACTCCTCATCATCCTCATCATCGTGGATTGTCATATCCTCCTTATCCTTCTGATATCATTCCGGAACTGATAGAAAACCCTAAGCCCCCAAAAAAACAGATGAGCACAAACCTCCTTAGAAGCCCTGAACCCTAAACTCCCAACTCTCATCCTTAAGGCTTAGCGCTAACTCAGGCTTCAGCTGCCTGGCCAAAGTAGGCGATCCTGTGGTCGCTCTCTGGGCGCGGTGTTTGCATGAGGCCCGCCTCTTCATTGGCAAGCAGCGTAAACATGATGATGTTGTTGATGATGAAGAAGTCGTAGCAATAGCAGGAGGAATAGCAGAGTAGTACAGTGGCATAAGCAGTAGCAGTAGCCGTAATTAGCAGTTTTCGTCGTTGCAGAAGCAGTAGCAGTAGTAGTATTAGTAGCAGCAGTAGTAGCAGTAGTAGTAGCAGCAGTAGTAGCAGCAGTAAGAGCAGCAGTAAGTAGCAGTAGTAGCAGTAGTAGCAGTAGTAGCAGTAGTAGCAGTAGTAGTAGCAGCAGCAGCAGCAGCCGCCGTGGTGGTAGTAGTAGTGCCAGCAGCAGCAGTATTATTAGTACTTGTGTGGAAGGATAGCTTAACATGCTACACAACTTCACCCATGTATTTGCAAATTTCGGCTAAGCTCACCTCCCCGATTGTTGATACAAGTAATTGTCGCCATCTCCTGCATTACGCTCGTTGCGTCTCAATGGCTGTCAAAAGCGACGTACTTACTAGCGTAAGATCCCACACATCATGATGAGCAGTCTGCTCGCACGTGGTTCACTTCCACATCTACAATCCCAATTGCTACTGCCCCCCGCATTATGGCCTCTGTTAATGTGTCCAATCAGTTCGGACAGTCTCGATTGCTATCAGTCTCGATTGCTATTGCAAGTGATGAGGTTCAAACGCTGTAGGCGAGATTTGTTTGATGCAGCACTTGTGCAGCATTCCTTGACTGTGCAAGGTCCCGAGCAGCAAGCTGCTGGTCAAAAACAAAGGCTTCTACTCCCAAGACGTTCAGGCCAGTTAGGGTGGATGAGCATGAATGGTTTCCCTGGAGCGCGAACTGGCGCCCCAGAACAGGGGCGTCAACAGCTTTCAAGGTGGCGGATGTGATGGCTGTGGCAATTGCGGTGATTGTTGTGTCAGTGCTGCTGGTACCGGTGCTGGTGCCAGGGCTGACTGTGCTCTGGGTGTTTGGTTGTGCTTGGGAGAGGGGCAGGGATGAAGAGGCACCGCTGTGCAGGTTGCTCAATGCAGTGTAGAATCAGAGAACATGCCTCCAAGGCCATGCCATATTCAGAGCCACTGTGACAGGAGTGGCTCATGTTATCCTAGACAACGTCTGCTCTTGGCAGAAAGGGTTTGCCCTGCAAATGGTGTCCCAAATAAGCTTGAAACCAGCAAACCACGACGCGTGGATCATCTTTCTGAAGTCCTGGCCCTACACACCATGCAGGCCACCTTCATCAACAAGTTTAAGGCATACGGCATCCAGGAGCACAGGCCCGTTAGCTTGCGCGGGGTGGCAATGATGTAAGGTTGGATTTCTACCTTGGCCTTGGGAAGGGTTTGTGGGAGTGTCTACTCGTGCCTAGGGTGACCATGCTGAACAAGCACATCCTGTCTTGTGCGGGGTTTCTCGAACTTCCGCTTTGTCCGTCATACTCGGAAACCTGAGCGCTAGAGAGGCATGTAAGCAGGCCAATCCTCGATACATGCCAACGTTCCAGATATCCAGACCTGCACGAGACACTAAGTTTTGAGGAAATGTTTTTTTTTGTTTTTTTTTTCTGATGGGGATTCTGACCTGTGATGACTGACGCTCGAGCAGTCCGTGCTGCACTCTCAAGTCCCTGAGCTGGGTTACATGCTTGGAAGCCCGATCAGGATGAGGCATGTCAACATGCAGGAGCCTCACTTTATCTGATATCTAAGTACTAGCAAGGATTCCCGCATGGCAGATTTACAAGACACTTCTGGACTTCGTTCAATCTCAAACCCTAAACCGACCCCAACCCCTAAACCCCTAAACCCTAAACCCTTACCCAGCATGCGAACAACTGAGAGAGATTCGTCGGCTCGGCTGGCAGGCTGAAGCTAATGGCCCTTGCTCCCACGTCGTTTGAACACCTCAACATCTACAATGAGGCGCATCAGTGAGACGCCCGCAGACTACACATTTTTGGGGGGTTAAGGTATCTCAAGGGCTTGCTGCACTGCTGTTTGGAGCATTTCAAGGCTGGTGCTTATTCCGGAAGTTTGTTGCTTTGATTCTCCTGGAGACAGACCAGATCTGATTGGGCCCTGCTCGCAGGTTGACATTGCCCTGGACACTTTCCCCTACTCCAACACCACTACAACTTGCGAATCCCTCTTCATGGGTGGACGCCTGAGGACAGCCTCGCTTCAAAGCGCTATGCGTAGAGCACGTCGTAGAACTTATCTCTCTCAAGCAGACATGGGAACCGAAATGGGCCCGGTGTAGTGTAGACTACTGCTCCGTCAAAAGGCGGTTCGTGGGGTTCTATATAAGCTTTGGGGGCATGCACAAGAAGCAGGGGCACCTGCCAGCAATTTACAAAACTTTCCTGAGGCGTCCCGGCCGTGTGCTTGGTTGGAACGACTCACGGCTCAAGGGCACGGAGCTGAGAAAAGTCATTGTCAATATTCAGAGTGGGAATCTAAGACATTGGCATGGGTGATTTTTTGTAGTTGCAGGTTCATGCTCGTGGTCGCGCATTTTGTTTGTTGTAGGGCATGTACCAGGATCTAGGAGAGAGAATATGGTGCAGATGCACCTCTTTTAGTGGAATTAATCTTCAGATTGGGGATACTTTATGGCGGTTGCCGATCAAATTTGTACTCGAAGCACGACACGAGAGCAAATTCCACAAGCCTCTTGGTTCTGCGCAGCTTTGCACCCATGGCATGAGTTTCGATGACTTTGATTGGAGACATGAAGCAAGCTAGGAGTTCCCATCTCAAGAACTGGTTCACTCAGTAGACTAGAACAAATCAGCCAATGCAACGGGTGTACTTGAGCCCCGGCCTCTCAAAACCCTAAATGTTTATGCATAAAACCCCAAAATGCAGCCAAAAGTCAGCAACACTTCCAGCAGTCCTCGCTCGAAACAAGAGCAGACTACTTTTCCCATGACTCGCTTGCACGCGCAGACATGGCAGCTAAGCAAAATTCATGCCTGTCCCCTGGTCACTTGATCGAGACCGCGTCTGCATTGAGAATCTGGGCCAACTAGCCATTCTTTCTGGATCGTGATTGCGCAGGTCATCGCTTTTCAGGAGGGCTGTCCCCATAGAACATGATGAGTCAGGGACGATTTAGAAACAAAGATTCAGGGGCTTCCCGCGTCATGGAGCTTTCTTATCCGCAATGTTGACCACATCCCAAAGTCGTCAGTGTCTGTGAAGGGCTGCATTGGGATACAGGCAACACTTCAGTCACTTCACCATCATTCCCCAATTATATAGTCACCATGCCATGCCCAGATTGGAGTTTATTACCCCGCATAAATCCTCGGATCTCCGCACTTTTTTCTTTGGAGAAACACCCAACATCTGTGGGCCACGGTTTCAACCCCTGTCCCGTGAGAGTCGTCATACCAGTAGCAAGGGTGCATTCTTTGCGGGTTCACAGCAAAACCCACCTGAACCCCAATCCCTACAGATCCCTAGAACCCCTCTGAAAAGTCCGTTCCTCAACAACAAGCCTAGGAATGTTGCGGAGCGGGCCTTGACCATCAAACAGCTCTTTGACTTGCGCACCTTCCTGCAAAGGCTATGTAAAGCCAAGCTACTGCTGCGCACGTGGCTTGAACGGTTCTTGGGGAAGTTGTTGAAGTGCTTCTTCTAGACATTGAGCGCGTACCCCCATGTATCAATAACTTGTTATGTTAACAGATGAGATGTCAAGCAGGCCATAGGGAACCTTAGTGTTTGGCAGAAGCAAGGTCGGATGAAAAGTTCAAGGCTGGTGCTTGTGGCAGTGCGCAGACTCCTCCAAGCGGAGAGAAGATGCAACTGAACCTAGGATCCAGAGTAGCGTGCGCAGACCTAATCCGTCACCAGCCATATCCTCCTATAGCCACTACTATATTCCTTCTGAATGAGCCGAAGCAGAGTATGCTGAACATTGCTCGCGACCTAGTTCTGACTGGTATGCTGGTGGCGTTTGGTTTGCTCACCTTTCTTTGGGAAATGACGCTAAAGAGGCAGCTGCAGGATTTTGTCATCTTGGCAACTTTTAGAACCTAGGAAGTGGCACGACCTGAACTTGTACGATGTCACGGACGAGGTGGCTTGGAGCAGGTAAGAATTATCACATCACGATCCTTTTGTCACAAGAGAGTTTCCAAGAATCGGGGTTTGCGTTTGCGGGTCCTTGGAAATCTCCATGCTCAGCATAACAGATCTACAAATGTTCAGGAAGCGTCTCAAAATACTCCCTTTTCCTTATTGCGTACAGGGACCCAATAATCTTCTGAAATTTTAGAAAGCCTGAGGTCTCCAAGGGCATCCGCCCGCCAAAACTTTACATTCCATTTGTAGGCTACTGGGACATTGCCACGTTCTTCATACTCGTACGAAGCCGGTGCTTTCTCAACTTGTAGGGAACTTTTTGGGTCTTTCTTCCTAAGTTTTGGACGGGCCTCTCTGTCTCGCTCTTGCGCTCTCTGTTCAGGTTCCCTCCACAACCCATCTCTGGGGAGAGACCCTGTGCAAGCGTGTTTGAGGTCCTCATGTGTGTGGTTTCTTGGAGATGTTCTATGAGTACTGTTTTGAGGGTTTTGAGAGGGCGAGTGAGCAAAGGAGCAGAAGGGGGATAAGGATGGGAAACTGCGAAATCAGTACTTGGTACGGTATACTATCAGTCCGCTTGAAAGATGGAGTCTGAGTTCCAAGAGAGTCTTGCTAAGTTTGACTTGTAGTGCAATGAGGTCATCAAACCGCTGATCCACTTTCGTGAGCTGGCGCGGCAGGGTCCTCTATCTTCGGCCCAGGTTTTGAGGCTGGAGTGAAGATGTGGGATGAGTAGGATGGACCTTCTCAACGTTGTAGTTCTCGCAGTTGTCCCATGGCAGGTAAAAGTGTTGGGCTGTGGTTCTTGGGCCACAAATCAACTTCGGAAATCTACTGCGTTGCAGAGTGGTCCCCGCCGAAAATAGCACTGTAGGAGCTTCTGATTACCACAGCTGTGGAGAGGGTGTTAGTCTAACCAAGTTTACACAAGAACTTCGATGGACTAATCAGGTCTGATCTTGTTTTCATTCAGTTGTGATGTTTAGGTAGAAATATCCCATAAACTACCCTATAATACCAGTTTCCATTT